TTGTTGACTATACCTTAAATTAAAATGCCTTAATATGTTTGAGCTTTGTCCCATTAAATTAAAATTCATTTTTCTCTTCTTTTTCATTAATCACATATTTTTAAATAAAACAATATATACATAAATCTAAAAAAAATCTTTCCTTTCTATCACATATTCTCCAAAAAATTATTATTCTTCTCATTAAAATGTAAAATAATGGAGCCCTAACAAGGACTTAATTCAAGTCAAAGTCAACAATTAATTTTAATCATATATTTTAAGGAATTTACAACTTTTTAATCATATATTTCATCATTTTTCCTCAAAATTTAATAATCTACTAAAACACTTAGAGCATATTTGTTTCCAATTAAAATCCAAATAAAGTTGAAAATATAGTCGTTATTGGGTCTCACTCGTCTAATAAAAGTCAACAATAACGTCTAATTTTTTAATTTTAATACGATTTTAATCTCTACCGAACACGCCCTTATTTTAATCTCCATCCAACGTTGGCTATGAATAATTGTGTTATTTCAGATTTTGACCACCTTTGTAGTTGAAGAGATAGGTATTTTCATAAAAATCTAAGGTTTGGGAAGGTTCAAGAAAAACATTTTGTATAATGCATTTGGAATATTCCAAATGAGAAATGTGATTGAGTTTCGGAAGTATTTGTAAACAATTTAAATTATAAATTCAAAAAAAAAAAATGATGAATAAATTGGTAGTACTTACGAATCCTACAAAAATGTGACAGATTATACACAAACAAACAAGGGTTAAACGAAGAACAAGCATCTTGAGATTTGCATGACCATGTCGAGGATTGCCATGAATTTACTACTTGTCCTCGCAAGAGATTGACCTATCTGAATGCTAGTAAACACGTCCATAACCATCCTCATCTATTTTTGTTGATCATGTGGTGTTATCGTATCTATGATCGTGATCACTTGGTCTGACATCGGAGCAATCACAAGATCTTTCCCGTCCTCTCTCATGTGCCTTTTCTTATAATAGGAGTTCTCCCTATTCCAATGGCATGGCAGTTGACAACATAAATTTGTGTTTTCTATTTTAGTTACCCAACTTAGAATTTTGCTATGGTTAAGGCATCTCTTCAAAATTTGTTTACATGCCAATGAAAATTCCCACGAGGCCTATGAAATCCCATTCAACATTTTGTATGTTCGGGTCTAATCATGTCGTAGCTCCATGCTTCGGATTAGGTTTAACGAAGATGAACTAAATTGTTAACATTGAACCCAGGAAAAAAGATAGTATGTATAGCTAGACCATGAACAATGTTAAAAATCAATCTTACTCTCTCTATTTTCTTGAAAATAAATCTCCAGTTTGTGTAAAACGTTCATGTCAAAGTTCGATGATAAAGACAAAAGTTATCGCTAGTTCTTAAGTGATTGGGGTGTTGCATCGGTGGGAATGAAATTTGTTCTATCCATAGAGACAATTGCTCATGAGTTCGAGCACTAGGGAGAGGAAAAATGTCTTGAAATATTTTTTGAATTCAATTGGCTCGATTATTCTCAAATTACTTTTCCAATAAACGCGAGTTCATATATTAATATTATTTGAATGTTAACCTGTGAATTTCAATTTTATTGACATTCTTAACCGGAATGTAGTTTGAATCATCTATCATTTCTTAGTTAAGTTAGCATTCTACTCGGATGGATACTTTGGGCTCTGTTTGATACACCATATTTTTCATGAAAAAATGAAAATTTCTAACTTTTGTAGTGTTTAATAGGCAAAATTTTTCCAGGAAAATGTTTTCCCACTTTCCAAATTTTCCACCTTTTGAGGAAAACAAATTCTTGATTTTTTTTTTTTTTGGTAAATATTTTCCTTTTTTTTTTAATTGCAATTGGAAAAAATTCTAGACACAACGATAAGAAAATTTATCACTTTTATTGACAATTTCCATGCAAAACAAAGCCAAACGAATGGTATTCGATATGGTAATTTTTAAAAAAAATTTTTTTTTTTTTTTTGGCAATTGAAACAAATTCTAGATTCAATGGTAGAAAAAAATATCATTTTAATGGACAATTTCCATAAAAAACGAAGC